TGGCTATTGTTCTCAAATGTCACTCAGCAGGGAAGGAAGGGGCTCAGAAGGGATTTCCAAGGGACAGAGCGAGGAAGGGACAACTCAAACTCAGACTCGGCTCCCACAGTCAGAGCCTGCGGCATTCATGACCCACGTTTCATTTATAGGGAACCACCTGCCCTGATTCAGACCTGCTGAGAACATTTATAATCACAGCAAACCTCCACAATCCGGCGGTGTCTAAACGCAAATTCCCTCCCGTCCCGCACAATCACAGAGGTGTGAGCCCAGGAGACCATTTCTGACCGTCACTCTCCCTATCTGTTATAACAAAAAAGCGTATACTGAACTGGCTCAAAACAGTCTGGGCTGATCCGGCAAGAAGCAGGATTTCCTCACTCTCACGCTGGAGATATGCAGAGAACCCGCTGGAACATTACAGAAAGTTCTGAATCAAGGACTGGGGGAAACCATTCTGAAGGATAATCAGTAGGACTCGTTCACACATGGCCTTACTCTCATGTTCTGGGTCCAATCTCAGCAGGTACGCGGTGACACCCTCTGATCTCTGAAAGGCTTATGCCAAATTTAAGACACTGTAACACCGTAAATGCCCAGACAACGCAGGTTACATCTCCTCTGCTCCGGCCCACTTTATAGCCTGGGGTGGTCTCTAAACCACTCTTATGTCTGTCCGTCGGTTTTAATGTACAGAAAAGTAACGAGAATAGCACAAAGAACATTATTTTCCCTGAGCCATTTGAGAGGAAGCTGCCAACGTGATGTTCCATTACCTGAATACGCTGTATTTCCACAAACAAGGACATTCCCCTCTGAAACCACATTACAACCATCAAAATCAGGAAATTAACATCTATAGAGTATTACCATCTAACTCTCAGACTCCACTCAGGTTTTGCCAGTAAGTTTTTCATCTCTAAAATAAAGACCCTGGTGTCACTGAACTCTCCTCTGATATTCTAACTGCTGTCTCTGTGACGAAGTCCTATCAAATGCCCACCTACCAAACTCTGATATTCAACACAGTGTAGTAAAAAAAGACCTCAAGTGTGAGCTGAAGTCCCGTCTCTTCCCATACCTGTGACTAGTAGTATGTTCTTGGGGACGTCAGCCATGCCCAAGTCAATCCTAGCAGGGGTATGCCTCTAAGAACCTCGTGAATGTCAGGAAGGAGCCACCCCACCCCGTCCAAAAGCCTGGACTCCAAGGAGGACAAGGCGGTTTTAGTGAGCATTCGGGAGGCCCTTTCAGGCCCTCTCCGCTCCAGTTCTGGCTTGGTGTCACAGAGCCGGGAGTCCTGGTGCTAGCCACTGTAGGTTTCTAACTGGCCTCACATATGGTCATGTATGGTCACATGGGACAAGTGCGAAAGCAGCAACCCTGGGGGACAGGTCACTCTGGCTCCAGACGACAGAGAGGCCATTAGCAACGGACATGTGGGCCTTGGAACAAACCCTCCGAGGAGGTTACTAATAGGCTAGAAATGGAACCGTATGGTTTTGGGTAACCCAAGTCAGCACCTACACCTAAGTTAACCACTGAGCAGAGGGTTACCCTGGGGGTTTTGGTGGTTTCCAGCTGCTATCGGGAAGTGGTAACAAAAACTGTTCTTCAGTAGCCTGAAGGAAAATCTCTGAAAAATACCTCCCCGGGCGCAGCTTCCCCATCTCAAAAGATCTAGCCCAGTGCTTGAAAACACCTAACCCGCATGACTTTATAAGTCAGGCTGCAATATCAAGATGAGACTGCAGCCCAGGAACGCTCCTCCCGCTGGGCGGGGAGCTGGGCAGTGCGAGCCCTTCAAACATCAGCTGGGCTCTGCCAGCAGAAACGGTTCTTCACAACTGCTCCTTGTCCTCTCTGGGGAAGTTCTCTTTCACTGTTCCTGATCATAAATTGAATATGACAGGAGATTCAGTTTTGCCCATGTGCAAATAAGAGCTCATATTGTTTTAATTCAATTATAAATTATTAAACAAAAAAATAGAACATCAATCCTTTTTAACAGAGAGACCTTTGTGTCAAAGGTACTGCTTTCTAGAAGTCCCTCTAACAAAGGATTACATATGAGTAAATTCAATTCACTACCAACCTCGACACAGCAAATGAGCATAAGAAAGCAGGAGAAGACTCTAGAGAGTTCCAGTTACCTGCAGTTAGAGATGTGAACACACGTTTATGACACTGGCTTTGCTGGGGACTCTGGCGCTATTTTATTTCAAACCAGGCATCTGCCAGGGAAATCTTACCACAGATTTAGAAACAAGGTGGGTTTCCACAGCAGTAAAAATTACAACTGTGGATGATGCCACGAGTGGCTCTCAGAAGGTCCACCGACGCAGAGTAGTTTTCCATGCTGTTTTCACTCCTTCCTATAGGCAGTAGAGATCATTTAAAGGTTGACCTACAATCCTGCTGTAACTCCGGCAGCACGCTGGTGACGGTAATCTAACAGGAAGCCATGTGCGCTTTGGCTCCAGTCTCCTCAGCAAGGGAGGGAGATGGGGTTGGGGGAAGCAGGCTGGGCTGCGACTGTCCTCTCACCTTCCTGCCTGGCAGTGCGGCCACGTCAAGTCTGGCTGTGGAGAAGCAAGAAGCCACTGCCCCGTGGTGATTTCTTGTCGGGGGGCCTCCCTGCCCTTTGATACTGCTCACGAGGGCAACGGAAACCCATGCCAAGATAATGAGCTCTCTCCTTGTCCAACAAAAGCAAGGCTTTGGGTAAACATGATAAACACATCAAAACAAAAAACAGACAAAAAGTGGGGGCATCTCTCCCTGGTGATAGCAATACGGACCTCCGAGAGACTGTGCACTATGAACACGAACTGCTACTGACAGATACGATGTTCAAAACACCACTGTATTTGTAGTTTTATAATATACAATGCTTAGTGCAGACGTTTCCAAGGACATGTGTGCCCGAGCTGAGACTGAAGCCTGGAGGACAGCGTCATTCCACAGGAGAGGAGACGCTTTAGCAGAGCAGCTCTCGAGGGCACGATGGGAGCCAAGGGGAGAAAGTTCAAGAAAAGCAAACTTGGATTCTATTTAAGGAAGAGCTTTCTAACAATCTGTGTTCTCCAAAAATGGAATTGGCTGGCTCTAGAGGGAGAAGAGTTCCAGCAGGCTGGTGGCCGTCTGTCAGGGGCGGGGGGAGGCCCGGCACCCAGCCCAGGGACGGCTGTTGAGTCTTCTCGCAGAGAGCCCAGGGTACACGGGCACGCTGAGCTGATCACAGCTCGTGAAAAACCAGTCACTGGGTGAGACGTGGTGAATAGTCTCAACAGGAGGCTTTGTCTTTTCTCCTTCTAAAAACTGAAGGAAAACAATGACAAGCTATTCAAGGGAATTTCTAGATAATTCAGAGTGCTCGTTTTGCCTTGTTTTACCTCCCAGCATTTCATTCAACTTCTGGGTATTTTATTCTTTACTAGAATCTTGAGAATGTATTTTTAAAAAACGGATAAGACGACAAAACAAGTCAAAATGTTTAGCATCTCCAAAAAAAAAAGGTACTTGGGTGGGTAAGAGGCTGAAATTGGAAAAAATAAATAAAATTAAGCTCAGGACACTCTTAAAATATTTATCTATTTCTGCTACCCACATTTCCTCACCACAGTTAATTACGAGTTATAAGCATAGGACAACAGTGTTTCCTTCAAGGGACTTGCTTGGAAAAAAAGATAAAGTGGTGTCAGTTTAGCGGAAAAAGAATCAGATTGGTCACGAAAAATGGAATTTCTACATCAGGCTCAGAATCTATGCTAGCTGGTGAGCTGGTGTGATTCCTACGTAGGCCTGAGTCCCCTTTCTCTCCCCAAATCATGGAAATAACCTAATCCATAACACAGAAATACTACTCAATCAATGAAGGCTTTAAATGGGTTTGAAGAGAGAGTCAGTAGGCTTTTCAAGAGTGCATAAAATGAAAGACAAATATTTTGCAACACCCATTACACTCAGTCTAGAATTTTCTCTTTCGGTTTCCCACCTCTTCCCCTCCCTCCAAAAATGAAAGAACTCCTCTTGTTAGAAATAAAAAGGAAAAACTCAAGTAAATGTAACATGGGTGATGATAACATTGACTTATTTCAATAGCAAATTCTTCAGTGATAACCAGCAGTCTCAGGTCCACCCACATTATCTTATAGAAGGAGGCAACAATAGCTTTTGTCAACGGCAGCTCAGTTCCGTCATTCTTCAGAGAAGAGAATTCCTGACCTTATTTTCTCACATAATCTGAAGCAGTAACTACTACAAGTGAGTCTGATATGCATACAACGGCAAGATTGGACACTCTTCATTTCAGGTGATTCAAGGTGGCCTTTCTCATGTCTGGATATCGGAGAAGAGAAAGGCATGTGGGAGGAAAGCCAGACGAGAAGCCGACTGAGCTGAGCTCCCAGCTGTCCCCACCCCAGCGACCCTAGACAGTCTCTGACGTCACACTAGTGCTCACCCAGTTGCCACCTTAGCTAACACTGTCCGGGACTGTGGTATGAAACGTCATCAATTTAAGGGAGGGAAGAAATTTACCTGGCTTCAAAGTGCTTTGTGCTGTCTTCTTCTCTATGCATAAAAGTCAGTGGACAGGATTTTGCAAGAGAGAAGAGATTTGATGGAATGACATAGGCAGAGCTGTTGACATTTTTGGAGGTGGTAATTCCATCTCAGGATCCTCTAGAATGTTGATGTCAGGAGACAGAAACACGTGCCGGGGTGCGACACACACAGAAGTGTCAACTTACATAAGACTCCAAACTCGAAAATCTCCCAGAAATGACAAACATGATATTTCTCCATCTTGATCTCTTAATTTTGAGATTTTAAAAAAAGACAACTAGAAAGATGTCAACATTTAAAACAGACTTTTTTTTTTTGACACAAACTAAAAAGATGAACACTCTCCTCTCAAAAAAGCACGAGGCTCCCTCGCCCTCCATTATGGGGAGCAGTGCAGCTATAACCTGGGTCCTGATGTTCCAAACACTCACCTAGCGTGTCCTTCAGGTTCTTCACAAGGGAGCCCTTCTTCAGGCTGTTCTTCCTCTCCACGTAGTTGGACGGCACGTAGCCCGTCCTGTTGGCCGCGTTCCTCACCCGCCACCACGTCTTGGAGTCGTCCAGCAGCCACAAGCGTTCGTTCTTCTTGATGTCCAGCTCCTGGTCCTGCTGGGCAGTGTAGTCCCACTTTGCTATAACAATAACTTCTTCTGTCATCTTTCATGGAGTCCTTCTGCCAGCAAAACATTTGGAGATGCTCATTAGAGAACCAACCAAACCCTTCATCCCTTGCAGCAACTTGAAAAATTATGCATTGAGAGCTTTTATTACAACTTAGCAACCGGTTTTCTCCTGGGTCTTGAAATACTCAACCTTAAAATCACGTTCTTTCAACAAGCTTTAGCGTTTTGTTGAGAAACGGCAATCTTATAAAACAAATCTCAATTTCATACATTGGGAATTCTGCATGCTCTGCCAAAAACAAACTTTCAAAAAATTCTAAATAACATTATCATAACTAAATGTGTTCATTTGATTAAGCAACACCAGCTCCTTATAGCTGATATGTTTATATTCATATTTTCAGGATATACTGAATTTTATGAACATATTTAATGAACACAACACACCCAAACTGTTCCCATAAATTAAAAATACAATAAATGTAGTACTAATGTAATGTGGTATCCTGGATTGGATCCTGAAATAGAAAAAGGAAATAAACGAAAACACTGGTGAAATCCGAATAAAGTCTAGTTAATAGTAATGTACCAATGTTAACCTTAGTTTTCACAAATGTAACATGGTTATGTAAGGTGTTAACATTGAGGAAACTGAGTAGAGAGTATATGGGAATGTTTTGTACTATCTCTGCAACTTTTCTGTAAACATAAAATTATCCTTGAAATCTGCACATGGATGTTTATAGCAGCTTCCTTCATAATTGGCAAAATTTGGAAGCAATCAAGATGTCTTTCAGCAGATGAATGGATAAACAAACTGTGGTACATCTAGACAATGGAATATTACTCAGCGATAAAAAGAAATGAGTTATAAAGCCATGAAAGACATGAAGAAACTTTAAATGCATATACCTAAGTGAAAAAAGCCAATCTAAAAAGGTTACACACTGTCTGATTTTCACAGACTCTCTCCTTGACCAAACTTTAGTCAGGCTCCTCTGAATCTTCTTCCCAAACTAGCCCTTGACTTTTGTACTTCCACGCCCATTGTTTCCATTGCCCAATTTTAGCAAGAATCCTGCCAAGCTGGTTTAGCCTGAGTCCTCCACCCTCATCAAGGAGATGCTTGATCACCTAGGCCTGCCTTCAGGAAGAATCCTGTTAGGTCAGTTTGGCCAGAATCCTCCCCGTACCTCTGATGCTTCCTCTTAGTAATTTTCCATTCATCTACCCCCTACCCTGCTCCGTGGTTGTCAGTTCCCACTTTTCCTTCTTGTATGTTGCAGTTGAGCCCAATCTCTCTCGCTCACTGCAAAACTCCCTTGTAGTAGTCCCCTGAATAAAGTCTGCCTTACTGTTCTTTAACACGTGTCATGAATAATTTTTTCTCTTACAATTCCACTATATGACATTCTGGAAAAGGGAAAACTATGGAGACAGTAAAAAGACCAATAGTTGCCAGGGGCGAGGGGGGAGGGAGGGATGAATAAGCAGAGCACAAAGGTTTTCAGGGCAGTGCAGCTATTTTGTATGACCCTGTAACAGTGGATACATGTCATTGTACCTCTGTCAAGACCCATAAAATGTGCAACACCAAGAGTGAACTGTAATGTAAAATTACTCCGAAATAAAGTTTATTAAAACAACAACCAATAGATGTATTATATAACTAGTTAAGTCAATTCTGGAAGTAATAAACAGCAAAGGTATACCTGAACGACCAAAATGAATACAGTTATCAACTATTTCAGCAGCTCCGTACTTCTTAGGTAGAAGATGGTCATTTTTTCAGCAGAAAAATTCAATACTCAGTCCTTCAGCTGACTAGAAGTTTCCTCAAAACTAGGAAGAAAGGAATAATGGAAAGACTCTTGACTAAAACTCCCTTCCTCTCCGACAGTGAAGAGTTCTCATTACTTTATAAGGTATGACTTCAGGATTACAAAGGGGACCTATGCACATTGACTCCACAGAAGCATGAATACTATTTTTAAATAACATGATTCTTTCTATGAGATGCTAAAGAAATTTATAAATAATACATGCTCCCTCCTTTCATGAATTAATTTCAAAATTTAGAGATAAAAAACCTTTTGGGAAGGAGGAAGTATTTAATAAAACTTATGCATAATGTATACAACATCGAAGACGATAGCATTTACACAAAGCTCATTTCCAAACCACAGACAATTCTGTTATCTACTTTCAGAAAATCTCAGGTCCGTACCATGTCTCTCTCTCTCTCTCCTGACCTTTCTGTCAGGTTAGACTTTTGAAAGTCATAAAGGCAGTTTTTCTTTTTGTAATAATAACGAGAGCAGTAATAGGAATGGGGATCAGAGAATATTCTATTTGAATATTGGGCTTGTTTCTTAATTACACAATTTTCAAGAGTTTTTAATAAGAACAGCCCATCACTTAAGACCAATCAAAGCAACTTATGAATTTTCTGCATGACTTGACTGCATGAAGAGCAGTTAAGTAAGGAGCTGGCTGGGCATGGTATGTTTCAATGCACATGGAACATCATGTGGGAGCTTAAAAAAATGCCAGTGCCTGGGCTCTGCCACAGATCAATGATATCAGAATCTCCAGGACTTCACAGCTCGCCCAGTGACTCTGACAGGCCTCAGCGAGGAACACCCATGAACGGGAAGCGAGTCACACACGCCTCCTCACAGATGCTCTCCCTGGAGCCCTAGACCTGTGCACCAGTGAAGATGTAAACGGTCAGCTGAGGAAGTAAACTCAGCGTAGGATGGGTACCTGACGTACATCAGTTCATTTCATCTCCAGAACACCCACCTTTCAGGGAAGTGTTATCCTTTAGGAGAATGAGGGTCCCAGAGATGAAGTGACTTGTTAAACGATGGTCAGGAGCCCGGGTCCGTCAGCTCCCAAATCTGTGCTCACTTGCTCACTTCCGGGGGTGGGTGGGTGAGGGCATAGTGTGTGGTCTGTATTTTGACAGGCTTATTCCAACCCAGGAAGTCTATGATTCCAGGGCAGGTGAAAATAAAAAGTTCCTATGCACCCAGGAAGCCAGCACTGGTGGTCTAGTGGTCAAGATTTGGCACTCTCACTACCGCGGCCTGGGTTTGTTTCCAGGAAACCATATCACACGTCTGTTGGTTGTCACACTGTGGTGGCTGCGTGTTGCTGTGATGCTGAAAGCTATGCCACTGATATTTCAAATACTAGCCAGGTCACCCATGGTGGACAGGTTAGAGTGGAGCTGACAGACTAGGAAGAAGGCCCTGGCTACCCACTTCCGAAAAAATTGGCCATGAAAACCCTGTGAATAGCAGCAGAGCACTGTCTGATACAGTGGCGGGAGGTGAGAGGATGGTGGGTAAAGACTGGGCAGGGTTCCGCTCTGCTGGACACAGGGCCGCCAGGAGTCGGAATCCACTCCACGGCACTAACGACAAGCAGCGCACCTAGGAAACAATAGGAAATGCACCTAGGAAACTTACTGTAATTGACTTATGACAGCTTGCCATCAATACGAAAGCTTCAAAAGGCCAGCCAATCAACAATCGCCTCAGTGAAGTCCGAGACCCGCCGTGGCGGGGAGCTGAGAGGACAGGTAACCGGGAGGTGGGGAAGGGGAAAAGGAGACTGAGCTCCTTGCAAGACTGAGTCTTGAAAGATGGGTAGGAAGGATCTGGAGGGGCGACGCAGTCAAGGAGGGCACTCCAGGCCAGACAGCTGTGAGCGAGAGCCACGCGGTGGGCAGAAGAACGAAGAATAAGTGACTCCAGAGAGTCATTTAAAATGAAAAGTCAACAGGATAGTATTTCAGTGTGAAGTAAGGTCCCCTTCCCCAACCCCACCCCATCACCCTGTATTCCTGCAGACGTCTGATCTGTCTTCTCTTTGCCAACACAGTTGGACAGGCCACCTGGAGGCCCATTCTGCAGGGATCTGTATGCTGGCCAAGAGTCCAGATTCCAGCCCTGATGCTTTGGGAAACCGTTTCTCAGGGGCCCAACAGCAGCACATGTTATTTTCAGTTAGAAGGAATCTGCTCTGGTGTGACTGGCATAGGACTGGAGTCCATGGGATGGACTGGAATAGGAAGAAACTGGCGATGCATCAAGATTATTCCACAATAAAATTACAAACAGACTCAAATTTCTTATACGGAAAAGCCCTAAAAGAAGAAAGTCTGAAAAAGTGCATTCTAACTGACTACTAAATTTTAAGTCAGAGATGGTATTCTGATTTAGTCTGAGATAGAATTATAGAGGTCAGGTACCAAGAACAACACACGTTTGTCACTCCAGCCTAGGCAGTTCAAGGAAATCTAATTTTTGCCTTCATAATTACAGCTAGTTATCACCCAGATCTAGCCAGCAGAAAGAAAAGCCACAGATCTGATATTATAGAGCAGATGATATCTTAGGTGTCATGTGACCACTCTAGACAGAGCTTAGCAAGAACCCCAAGTTATACTGAATAAGAGAACCTAACGAGCTAAGCTGCCTTTTCAAGTCTTAGGTGGGAGAAAATTAAAAAAAAAAACAAAAAACCAAACATACTAAAACAGCTATAAAAACTTTCTTGGCTGAACAGTTTTCACTAACTCCTAAAATAACACCAATCCTATTCTAGGACCCTATTTTCTTTCTAAAAAGGATCCTGTTAACTACATCTTGCTGGGTTACATACTCCTCATGATAGCCAGTGTTCCTACAACCCCCAAAATGGTCACAGATATTTCCAGAGGGGTGTCAGGGACCAAGCTGAACCAGTTGGTCAAGAGTCTGGGATTCTAAGCTTAACTGGACCATCTGCATGTCCACCGTGGACTTCAGCGTATTCTGTAAGATGGGAATAGCAGCACTCGCCAGCCTCACAGGACACTTCTGATGCTCAGGAGCACGACAACGCAGTGTTGAAGGGAGTGGGCTTCAGTGTCACACAGACCTGGGCTGGAGTACTGCTACACCACCTTGGCCCAGCTGCCTCTTCTGTAACATGGGTCATAACAGCACCTCACCTAGGAGCTTGTGAAGAAAGCCCAGAGCACACTGCCCGGCACAGA